GAAACAAGGAGTCGCCCCTGCTTGTGCATTCCAGCCCGGGGATATTCAGCCCTCCCGAGGTTATTTCGACACAGGGCTTGAAAACACTCGTGTGCGGACAGCGCTTTTCGGATTCAGGAGGAAGTTTGGAGGTTCACCCCCGCCACCACCCCATCACCCCCGAGATGTGCAGAAGGAATTGTCTCGGGCCACGGGCCCCAGCTCCATTCCAGAATTTGTGCCGTCTCCGGCCCGAACAAACCTTTGCGAAGGCGAGAGGCTGCTCCAACCCGGGGAGGGGGCCGGGGGGCTCCAGCCCGCCTGGCAGAGCCGCCCGCTGCATCCGCTGCCCCACGGGAGGGGTGGGAGGCGAGCAACTCGTGGCTCCTAAAGCTCCCGGGAGCGACGTGGCTGCCGCACAGGGAGGGAAGGGAGGCACGGGAGAGCTGGCTCGCCTAACCCGGCTCGGCTGCCGCGGAGAAAGACTGGGCTTGGTGTTTACATCAGGCGCGGCCCTGAGGGGCTGAGCGGGCGCCTCCGGGGGCCGCCCCCCGAGCCCGGGGCGCCCGGCAGCGCGGCCCTTACCCTGGTTGCGGATGGCTTGCTGGCTCTCCAAGCAGTTGGGCAGGTAGGGCCCGTTGGGGAACATCCGAGCCTGACCCGAGGGCGGCTGGCTGGGCGGCGGGGCGCCGAAGGGCCCGTAGCGGCAAGCGCCGGCCGTGCCCGTGAACTGGCCGGAGAAGTGGACGGTGAAGGCGCTCAGGTATTGCTCCTCGTGCGGGTCCGATCCGTTCCAGCTCGGCTCCTGCTTGATGAAGGAGTGCGGTCCCAGCGAGCCGTAGGAGGCCCCCGGGGGAAAGTCCAGGACGGGCGCCCACTGCGCCGCGCTGCTCACCGGCATGGTGCAGTTGCTGTTGCCCGGCAGGGAGGGCACGGAGGGCAGCAGCGCGTTGAGGTCTCGGACGTCGGAGCCCATCTGCTCGCAGACCTTCTGCCTGCCGCCGGGCAGCCAGTCTCCCCCCGGGCCGCACTTGTTCCAAGACACCTGGCCCCTGCCCGCCAAGCCGGAGGCCGGCTCCGGCTGCAGGCACCAGGCCGGCGAGCTCAGCCCTTTGGGGGAAGTTTGCTCCGCGACGCAGCTCCCCGGGTCCAGCCCTGCGGGAGCCGGCAGCAGCGACAGGGAAAGGTTGTTCTCCAGGATCGCCTCCGGGCTTGCACCCGCTCACAGCGCAGCGCAGGGCGCCGTGTGCGTGTGTCTGTGTGTCCGCGCGTGTGCGTGTGTCTGTCTGTACGAATGTCCGCCTGTCCGAGCTGGGGGGGCACAGCCGTCGCGCACGCCTCACCTCGGATGCCTGCTCGCCCTCAACTTTGCAAAGCTCAAATAGAGGCGCTTGCAGGGGAGGAGGAGTCAGCCAGGCCGATCCTCCATTCACACAACCTCCGCCGAGGGGCTGCCCACAGCCCGCTCTGCTGAACCCAGCCGGACCAGACGCGCAGGGGGGAGGGGAGACACAGGAGAGCCGGGGATGGAGGGGGAGAGGTGACTGTGGGAGAATATATCTCCCCTACACATCACTCCCACCCTTCTTCTGGTGCAAGCGCTACTAAATCTCACCCTAACGTTTCCCCGCTTTAGGAGAGACTTGCAGGACTGTTAGAAGGACCCAGGTGGCCAGTAAGTACGTGCTGGCTGACTTCCCCCGCCAGCTCCCTGCATGTCCGTGGGGATTCCCGAGGGCGGCCAGGTCGCAGGCCCTGGGGACCGCCTGGAGAAGCCTCCGCCCTTGCAGGAACCGGGGAAGTGACACGACCCGGGGCGGGCGGACCCCGTTCCTGAGAGGGGAAAGTGTCTTTCCAGGTGCCTCTCCCGCTACGGGAGGAACCTGCGTGTCCATGAGCTCCTGCGGGGTGCGAGCTGCCTGTCCTGGCGGGCAGGGCAGGGCTGGCCGGCCCGGGGTACCGAGGGCTACCGAGGGCTCGGCCGGCGAGGGGAGGGGTGGGCGCCCCTTGCAAGGGGCCCGGGGCCGGCGTGTGCCCGGCTCCAGCCCTGTCCCTCTGACCTGCCTGTGTGTGAGGGGAAGGAAGCAGCTGGGCGGGCGGGGGAGGACAGCAGCGCTGTGAGTAACCTGCTTTTGAGAGATTCACCTGGCACTGCTCCCGGGAAGGCCCGGAGTCTCTCTTTCCTCCCCAGCCTCCTGCACAGCGAGTTCTCAGCGTCCATCCCGGGGGCGGCGGCCGAGAACCCCCGAGGGCGCCTTACACGTCCGGACTGTCCTTCCTCCCAGGAGACACGGCGGGGTTGGGGTCGGACCCGGCAGCGAGGGGTGCCGTGGTTCTGGCGGTGCCGGAGCACACCTAGACCGGCTGCCCAGCCGGGAAGCGCCGGGGCGGGCGGCAGAGCCCCGCGGTACCTGCCGCGGGCAGGACACGCTCTCTCCCAAGGCAAGGAGGGGAATCCTGCCGCCCTCCTGCAGAACTACTGACGAATAATCCCCCGGGGGTGGGGGATGCTGCTCCTACGAGCAGCTGCCGGCTCAGGGCACTCGCGGAACCCGCGGGGTCGCAGTGGCCCCGCCGCCCTGTCCCTTGCGCGTTGTCACCGGCCGCTATCAGAGCCGTGGCACCGCCGGGGACACCGCCCGGCGACACCCCCGCGGCTCCCAGCCCGCACCCTCACAGCGACAGCAGCGACAGAGGCGCAGTGACACGTTTACCTGCCGCAGGACACGCCGAGCCCCTTGTCTTGCCCGTGACAATGTACACCTCGGGATTTCCTTTCCCCCGCGGGCATCAAAGGTTACCGCAAGCATCGCCAGCCTTGAAGAGATGTTTTAAGATTCAAAGGGTAAATGTTACAACAAAAGAAATTAAAAGAGGTCGTTATTGGAGTGGCCAAGTACAATTTCATTTTCTCTTAAAACAAATTAGTCGTAACGGTCGGGTTTTGTTATTAGTGAAATTATTTTTTTACAAACTATTTCAGATAATTCCCTTTAAAAATCTGTCTTTTGGCGCATTCATCTATGTATTACAAATATCCACGTGTAAACTAAGTGCGAAAGATTTGTTCATTATTTTTGCTGATATTAAATATCCTCTAAGTTTACAGGACGTGCCAGTTCAGAATCCGCGGCAAACTAAAGCACCCACGGACGGCACTTGTGAAGGCAGGCAGCCCGTGTCCGTGCGGGGGGATGGCGCTGACCCTGCTGACACCGCGGGCTCCGGCGCTGGCTCCTGCTCTGGCCGCACCGGGGCTCCCGCACACCGCGGTCACCCCTGCCCGGGACCCGCGGGGAGCTGCGGGATCGGGACGGGGGCTGCTGCTGGCTCTGCTCGTTTCTGTGATGGACAGACACACGAGGTTGGTTGAACTCGGTACCTTGAAGGTCCTTCTCAACCTAAACGATTTTATGATTGATTCTATGATTTCTGGCTCTGCGATGGACAGCGTACATACAGGAATGGAAGTCTTTGGCCAACCTAAGCGCGGTATTGAATTTCCCATGAAAACTAGAGCTCTCTAGGAGCAAAAATAAAATACGTTTCCTGCAATGGGCTGTTTTTCGAGCTAGCATGAGGCTTTTCTCTTTTCTTGAAATAACCTAGCTTGATAAATCATCTTGAAAGAGAAAAAATGTTTTCTTGATCGCTTAGTTCTGCATTACTCCATCTGGGAGGAAGAACTGTCGTTCCAAACCTTCTCCTCTCGTGTTTTCCAGCAGTGAAAGAAGACGAGCCCTTGGCCATTAGCGCATCCTTCCTCCCCGCGGCTGCTGGCGAGACCAAGGGGGACTTCGGAGATGCCAGCTCGGCTCGGCTCGGCTCGGCTCAGCTCAGCTCAGCTCAGCTCAGCTCAGCCCAGCCCTGTGCTGAGCCGAGCTCCGGCACCTGCTCCCTCCGGGCCGCCTCAGCCGTGCGGGGCCCGGAGCGCGCCAGCCGCCAACGCGTCCGGGGCCGTCCCGGGAGAAATCCTCAGAGGGGCAGCCCGAGCACGGGGAGGAGAGCCCGGACCCTCTGTCCCGGAATGGGCTGAGGACTTTTGGGAAACGGCCGGCGCCACTTTCTTCAGCTGTTCTCGTCTAACCAGCGCCAGGGAGAGAGAGAAATCTCCCTCCCCGCTGCCCTCCTCTAGCACAGAACGGGGGCCTGTCAGCAGCTCCCCTCGGGGGCGCACGGCATGCCGAGAGGAGCTGCTCCCTCTTTGCAGGAGGCATTTGCCTCTTCCCCAGAGATCCCGACCCCGATTCCAGTCACACTTCGGCGTAAATCACTCCATGGTCCCGCACACCGGGCGCCCTCCTGGATTTGGGTGCCCAGTTAAAAGTAATGGCCGAGGAGAGGGGAGCTCAGGGACAGCATCTGCTTTGTCGGTTTCCAGACCCAGGGGATCGGAACATTTTGCTCTGTCCCCTTCGAACACGGCCCGATCCAAAACCCAGACAGACTTCATTGCCTGGTGTTCCATAGCTATGGCAATTCCTGATAACGTTCAGTCTTCGATTGTGCTCGAAGGCATACTCTGCAAGGTTAAACAATAGCTGGGGGAGGATTATTCTAGTGAGAGTCTCGAGAAAAACGGGCTCGGGAACCTGCTTCACCCTGAGCACCGCTACCGCACCTCCCCAGCCGGTTTTCCTTCTGCCATGCTAACCAGTTAAGGGACTGGTAATTCTTACTAAACTAAACGATCTCCCCGCGAGACTGACTGAAACAGAGATAAATCCCCATCCCTTCCCCTCCTGCTCACGCCGCTCACAGCACGCAGGGGGATCTGTCTCCTTTCACTCAGGGAGCTGATCAGTGTTTGATTATTTAAGTGCCAAAAGCAGCAGAAACAAAGCTGCGAAGCATCTCGCAGGGGGCAGAGGGGCAGGAACTCATCCCGGCGGGCCCAATCTCTCATCGCTCGCTGCCGAGCGCTGCGAGCACCGCGGGAGCCGGGAGCCGCCGGCAAGGCGGGACCAGCCTTCCCTGTGCGGGCTGACGTGGGCACTGGGACGCTTTCGAGCTGCGTAGAGGACATTTTGTTTATCCCCTGAGCGTAAAAGAGGGGGTTTTTTGATGCACAGAGAGGAGAAGATGCGTGACCTCTCCCCGCAGCTGAGGGGAGCGGGGCGCTGCTGGGCCGGGCGCTGCGCTCCCTCCGAGGCGGGACCCGGGTGCGGGGATGGCCAAAACCCCCGCGGGGTCCTGCGCATCTCCCTTGGGCCCGGCTCTTCCCCCGCTCCGCCGGGACAGCCTCCCCAGCGCCGAGCCCGGCGGGGCTCGGGCCATTATTGTACCGTAAATCTTGGGAACGCTGGAACTAATTACGGAGAGGATATGTCTCAATTTGTTCCGCATTAGTGCCGCGCCGGGACGCAGGCACCGAGCACGGGAAATTGATGGGCCCGGCCCGGCCCAGCCCCGCCGGGACGGCGGCCCTGACCCCGCGTTCAACCCGGGGGCGGCCCCGCTCCGCCTCCCGCACCTGCGGGGCCCCGCAGCCGCCCAGCCCCGGGCGGTGCCCGCAGCAGCGCCGAGCCTGCGGCCGGCAGCGAGCGACCACGCGGGCTCCGCGAAATTTATTAGCGTGCTGCTAGGACGAGGCTCGGTATAAATCACGGCGCTGTATAGGGCCATAAAGCATCCCTGTGTATCCCGCCCTCGCCGGGGTTCTGGTGAATAGGAGTTCATGGAAAGCTGGGTATCAGTAACATCTTTCAGATCTGGAGTATGTGACGTTTTTAAAGTCTTAGATATACAATGGGATATAGTTATGGAGCAGCTAAAGCTATGGCGTAGAATTTTTATAGGTATTTTGTACTTATGTACAAAAGAAATTTTGGGGAAAAAAGCTCTTAGGTAATATGCTCAGTTCTTGGCATTACCGCTAATGGCTTTGAAAGTAATAAAATTATTATTTCGGCAGGAGAAAATAAAAATATTCTAAAACGTAGTGCATTATAAATGGGTGTCGGGCAACTGAGACTTAAGGAATTAATTACTCCCAGGTCGTAGCACCCAGATCCCATTGTAAAGGCACATTGAACTCTAAATACAATAATATATAAACACATCAGTAACAATATCTGGCATGGACACGGATTCAAAGAATTCTTTGAGCCACCTGGGACACAATCTTTGAATATGAGTGCATGCTGGAAATGTAAACCAAAAATTTATACATTCAAAAGAATTAGAAAGGCTGCAGCGTCCTCGGTACCTCACGGGTAAGGAAAGGCACCCACAGCCTCAGGTCTCACTAACTGTAGGGTATTACAGGACAGGGATAGAAGATGACTTGTCCTTTACCAATTTCTTCAGAGACTGCCCACGAATATGTTTTCCTAAACACTAACCATCCATGGCTTTTATCTATCCATTTAATTCTTTAACAAAGACACTTCAACAACACAAAGCAAAGTCCAAATCTCCCTTTGTTCTTGCAAAGCCCTTTTGCAGCCCTGTGCGAAGATATCCAGTTGTCCTCAGTGGGAAACAAGAGGGCTCCAGCAGCTGTCTTAGCTGAGGGTCTAAACCCCTTTTCACTGCGTTTTGTTCATTGTACGCACCTCAGAGGAATTCATCCATGCAAGCCCCTGACTAAAAGGGCTGTAGGGCAGGTGCTCCCACTGAAATCAGTCCTAAGGATGTCAGTCCATGCAGTGGGGAAGGCCAAGGACGTCCTCTGCCTGAAGATGTTTGGTGAGTGTAGAAAACAAGCAGAGGGGACAATGTGCCTGATGCCTAAAGCAGAAGAGAACCAAAAGCTCCTGGGTTCTGTTCAACACCTTCTGCACCCCCCAGAGAAATGGGAGAGGTGACAGCAGTTTTGCCAGATAAATGGGGGACTCCAGCAATATTTGTGGAGTGCTTGGGTAAGCAAAGAAAGGCAGATGGTTGCATTTTGCAGCACAGCTCTGTGTGATGTGTCAGTGATGTGACCTGTGAGGGGGTGGCAGGGCTGGAGCTGGAGAGCTGTTGCAACACGGCGAGTCCCTCCTCCCATCCCCAGCAGCACAGCACAGCACAGCCAACACCCACGGCTCCTTCCTTTGTAGCCTGGGCAGACATTCCACTGCCCCCAGCCCCCAGCACAGCCCTTTGGCTTCCTTAGAAACGGAGCAAACCCAGTTCTTCGTAACCACAGCTACATGAAGGTGTGTGTGCCTCTTCTCTCTCTGGACTGCACGTACCGATACGTGTGGATGGCAGCAATACACATGAGGTAGAGAAGCTCATTTTACTCCTCTGGATGGCTGAAAGCAACAGGCAGCAAAAACGCACCCCCAGCTGAAAGAAGAGTTTTCCCAATTCTTAATTCCGAGGCTTCCCACTCAATGTGGCTTTTGGTCAAACCTGAAGGTTTACAGGCAGCCTCTCTCTGCCTTGTGTGGGTGTGGGATATCTGGTCTGGACATAAGTGTGAAAGGCCAAATGAAAAGTCCATGGTTTCAGGGCATCAACCCAAGAGAGATCTGCTGCAAGCAGGGGCAGAATCCACAGTATCAGATACAATTCAGATGGGCTGCAGCTGTCACTGTTTTCAGATTTGTGACCATCACTGTCCAGCTGCAGCCTCTGCTGTCCCCACTGCCACTGTCCCACGAAGCTCATGCTGAGATGAGCTGTGTAGGGAGCTGCAGGGAGAGGTGGGAGAAGAAAGGAGAGGAGGGAGGGAACCCACGTGTTGAACTTGCCTTAGAAGTCAAATTTCTTCTTCATGAGATGCAGGACATTCCTTTCCCTTCAGATTTTATGTCTGTTTGATTGCACTAAATTCATCTGAGTACTGCTATGACACAGGAATTAAAAGCACCGAGGGTTTGCTGTAGCTGTTGACTCATGGGTGCAGACTGATCAAATCTACTACTTGTTTTTCTTCCTATTACATGAAAGCAGAGTTCAATAAAGTTCAGATCGGAACTAAGACCTACTTTGTGATGTCTTGACAAACCTTTCCTGATATATTTATCACATATTAGTCAAAAAGAAAGAAGCACAAAGGAACCTTGTCAACTTGTTATTTATGTTTTTTAAATGAAATAGTGAAAGGAATGAGCAAGTAAGTGTGATTCCTTTCTCTAGACTGCAGTATCATAGATTAATAGCTCTATGAACAGATTTGCAAGTAGCACCATCATGCTAGTCAAGATATTAAAAAAGTTTATGAGCAGTTGCTTAGGAAAAACAAGATAAAGCATACGGAAA